TGTGTGTGTGTGTGTGTGCAAAAAATACAACACAATTGTGTTGTAAACGCATTATTTATTCGAATTATATATGTATATGTATATATTTTAATTCCTTTACTCCAAAGATTTGCACCTATATGATAACTTATTCAAATGCTGTATTATAGATGTTGTGCGCTACATTTCGATATCACAGTCTTATTTATTGTTGTTACCATTAAGTGTTCATGATCTACGATATGTTATTTATGCAGTATTTGTACTAATATAATTAGTTTAATTATTAATTTATTACAAATTTATTCACAACCATGACTATACTCTTACTATATGAATCAGTGAACCAAGTCAGTGCTTGAATAAAAGTTAATCAAATTATCTTCGCATTTTGTTGAACAATATTAATGATAAGAATTTTGCTACATCACTTCGACAGTGAAGTAAGTGGATTTCCTTTGAGCGGATGCGGATTCCGGATTATCTACATGACCACAATAATGATTTACCGTCTAGCCTGCCTTATGCCCACTATCACGTGATCTGGCCGTCAAGATGGACGATTTAATCAAGACCATCCCTGACACCATGACTGTCTGAGCACATTAATTTAAGCAAATTAAATAGGACACGTCAGTTTTGAGTCAGCTGTACCGAGTGCAACAGAGTATAGTGATTGTCCCAATATAGGGAATAACCTACAGTATGTTGCGTCTACTCCTAGGCAGCTTTAGACTCTAAATAAAATGCATTTTTATTTATTTATTTCACCTTCCTGTCTTTTTATTTGTTGTATTTGAGAGGGCGAGACCAGTTAAAGTTAAGTAATCGTTAAAGTTTTCCCTCCTCGCGTGTTGCTAATATTAAGTCACTTGTTAGACCGTCCGCAAAAACTACAGTGATGGCAGTAGAGAGATTAAGCGGTCTTTAGGGGAATAATGTTCCTTTTATTCCTTCGAAAGCGGTGTCTGGTGTGAGGAAAATGACGGCCTCTTTTAGAGAAAAGTGTGACGTCCGTTGATCAAAATTTAGGACAGAATAATTAAGCAAAACAAAACACTGTGAACGGGACTTCAGCGGGCCTGAACGGGACTTCAGCGGACCTGAACGGGACTCAGAAATCAACATGACATGGCTTATAGGACAATTTTAATTTCGCAATGTTGTTGGCGTATAGTATATCAGGGTAAATGTTTTCGGGTCAGTGATCGCTTTTGTTGTTGATGATGACTTTGAAATCCATCCAGTTTGTTTACAACAGAAATGACAAGATAAGTCCTGTCACGTGCACATTAGGTTATCATTGTAAAATTTTAATAACAGGTTAGCACCAGACAGTAACAAAATTACTGATTTCGTTTCGACAAGATTGGACACAAAAGAGCCATATATTGTTACAACAGATTTACATTGTACCTGTAGATCTCACTGTCCTTGAAAAACAAGCATAGATACTGCCTGAATATACAAACTTTTATTACGGTAGACCACCATAATGACACGTTCCGGGCCGTTTCCTATGCCATAGCTTCATACGTTTAAGCGGCAATCTGTCCCCTCAATTACCCGAAACAACTTTGAGCCTTTCACTGGAACGGCAATTATGGTACTTTAAACTAGGGCCCATAAGAATAGCGTTAGTTTGATGGACAATGTCTTTAAGCACACGTCCATGTATCTTTCTAATAGTCATTCCAATTACAAAAATGCAAGGCATCGTTTTTCACTTCATACAGTTGTAACTATCTTCAGCGTAGGTGTTTAATATTCGCTCAGATGTGCTGTGGTCCAATATACAAGTTTACACTCGGTGGATTTTAGCAAATGCTAAAATAATAGCAAATGCAATTAATATTTTGATATGTATCCGTAATTAACGCATCCGGGCGCTAACTATTAGCGTTAATATGATGCCACTCAACGACCAAATTGCTGCAGTAAGACTACTCACTATATCTGTGTAATACTGTAATATATGCTACTGGTATATAAACATATTTTGTATGTCTGCTGGTACGTCAACGTGAGCACTGAGTGATGAGGTATTAAAGAAAAAAAAATATTGTCTCCAGTCACGCAGGCATATATATGGCACTGGGGGGTGCGGATGGTTATCTGTGGCTCAATGCATTCTACATGCATCTGCGCAATTTTCGGGCACCTGGAATGAGACCACGAATTACAATGAACAAAGACGTCAGACTCAGTGCATAGTGCATCTTTTAAGAAAGGCCTGTCGTGAGTGGTTGAGGGTGCAGATCCTGATGAGGTGTCGGCTGTCAGTTTGTCACGGAATTCACGGGTCAAGTTATTTACTACTGCCTTAAAGTCGCATTGAGAGATTAATTTCAGCGCCAACACCGGGAAAGACGCTTGATTTCGGCCTCGTGTGCCACGTAAACCGAGGCAAGGGGAAACACCAAATGTCCCCACACACTGGAAGCTAAATATAGCCAGGCTATGACGCGCTGACCAAACCCATCTACTTTAAGACTCACTTGTTATGACAGTAGTGACAGTATGAATGTAGTGTCCTATTTATGACACGACAACGAAGGATCGGTCGCGTCGCGTTATCAAAATAATTTCAAACCCAGTCAACTTGAGACGCTGACACACAAACTTAGAATATACTGCATGCACGGTTAGTCGCAGACAAAGGAGAAAAACACTGAGCAGTTGTCGTCAAGTAATCATACATAACTTCGTGTAGCGTCTTCCTGGAGAGAATTTCAGTAAAATCGAGGCACCAGGAGAAGAATATCGGTATAAACACAACGTCAACCATGCCGGAGTCGAAATCGCTGACGACTTTGGACCGGCGACAACGAATACTGCTAGCCGCAGTTTGTGGATTGGTGTTTGCTGAGAGTTTAGTGCTGACTATTGTGGCGCCCCTCCTGCCTATCACTGTAAGTAGTATCTGGTAGATTTCAAATATGATATATTAATATATCTCTCTCACTTGTGACATACATTCCTTTTCCGTTCTCTCTCTCTCTCTCTCTCTCTCTCTCTGTGTTGATTGAGTTCCTGTGTGTGTGTGTGTGTGTGTGTGTGTGTGTGTGTGTGACTAGAGAGCTGCTACTAGTACAGGGATAGTTAAGTAGACGAAAAAAGATTGTTCTATCCAAATTCCCACCCTAAAATACGACGCAGCAGGTAGCCAGCTAGGATTTATGGTCCATTTCCCATACTAAACACGGGTGGGAATCGTCCCATTTAGGCCTACCTATGACCCACAAGGCAATATTTTTATGGCCCTAGCTTATAATGTCCTCAAAACTGCGGCTAACCTCAACCTGTACTTGTGTTGTGTTATATGGGACCCCGATATTCCATACTTGTACAAATAGCTTGTGGGTACGGAGTACAAACGTGCACGCTCCGTGTCACACCTGCTTACGTACAATTGTCTAGCTTCACACCCACACCCACCCACACACACACACAAATACACACCCACACACACGTGCGCGCACGCACACACGCACACATCTGCCCCCACTCCTCCTTCAAAAATTCCCTCTGGGATCGTGTTAGAGGAGCTGTTCCATTAAATATTTGCTGGTTTGATATTTGTATAACTCGCTTCTTTTTATCACTTTTACCATCATTGTTGATTTATTCCCCTATTGTAGAGCACTTCAATATAAAGCAGAGAAAATAATGGGTCGAGACAGAATAATACAAGTATTACATAAAATACACAGGTGAACGTCGCTGCTGACAAGACTCAAATGTTCGTTTAGTTATCTGTTTTTGACCCAGTTCTAAACAAAGCAGTAGTACTCAAACTTATATTTGCTTGCCGACAAACCCCCAGGTATGTCTGTGTAACCTCCAGAAGTGGGTTATTCCACAACAACAACAACAATAAATGAACATTTAATTGAGTCAAGTCAATGATGCACGTACATTTTCTGTATTTTGTTTTGTATAATTCTTACTAGCCCTAAACACTGATGGACGTATTTTACAAAAATAAATAAATAAATGAAAAAAAAAAAAACTCTCATTCATTTCTGTAACATACATGTACTATGTACAATATACTTGACCAACCCTTGCCTCTGCTTTATACTATAGTATTTTCAATATAGACCAAAAGTCGCCAATAATTAAAGAGTGATATAAACAGATATGTTCACTTTTTTATGGAATACCCCAACTCTATACAAGTAAGCCTATATGTACTAGTATTTCTACACGGGTGCGTAACGTGTACAAAAGAATCACTCTTGCCTATCCACCCCTATCTGGACACACTACTATTATATGTAACAAGGTCAGCTAAATACAGGTCCATCAAATAATTATGACTTTCAACGCCACATGGACATAAAATGATCCTAGCCGCTTTCAGAAACATCTGGGTGAGATACCTGGATCTATAGGTAAATAATGCAGTGGATATATAAGCATAGTTAGGTAACACTCTCAGTTGAGCACTGGATAACTTCAGTGGCACTGCGAGGTATTTATACATGTATATTTTATAAAGGTATTCTACATACCTAAATCATTATCATCTCTCTCTCTCTCTCTCTCTCCTGTAGTCCAGTGTGTGCATGTGTGAGTGCGTGTGTGTTTGTGTGTGTGTGAGAGAGAGAGGGAGAGAGAGAGAGAGAGAGATCATTTCAATCTACCGTCTTTTTTAAATAAAATACATCGCAGAGAAAATATTAAAGTAACAAATTTGTTGATCATAGATTCTGAACGAATTTCTATTTGAAACAAGTATTTCCTTGCTCAAGATTTCAAACTTCTCTTAGGCCTTTAGCGGATCTATCATCTGTGCTATGGAATGGTACAGCTCAGAGTTTTAAGGTGCAATCCCAATGAAACTGTCGTTCCACGTGGTCCAGTCAAACTCCGAGGGGACTCACGCTGAATGCAGTCAGGTTAACAGATGAACACGCCTCCTCCTGGCGTTAAGCAGAACACAGAATATCTGGTTATTATACGAGTACTTTGGAAACAAGAAGAGACGTGTTCATCTGTTAAACTGATTGCAATCTGCGAGAGTTTTTGGTAGATACAGGTTTTTCCAAGTGGAACGTACGTTTCATTGCGAATGAGCCCTTAGATTTTAAGACTTTTTAAAGGGTAGATTGAACGTGCACAACTGCAATTCATTCTATTCTCCACACTGTTTTTCAGGCCAGAGAGAAAGGGGTGTCAAATTTTGAGGTGGGGATATTATTTGGAGTAGCATGGCTGGCTTCCGCTTTGTCTGGAATAGTCCATGGAAAACTGGTAAGGTGTTCGTGATTTTAGAATATTAGAACTTATAACTTGCATAAGCTGAAATTATGATAACTGTTTTCTTAATGCGCATGGTCAAACGTACCTGGTCATCAATAATGCACACTTTCCTGTCCTTTTTTAATCTATATTTATTAATTTTATTCTCTGTTATTATTTTTGAACTGTGACTTGCAATCACTTTCCAGAAGTTATAACAAAAAAAAAAAAAAA